CTCGCCGTTGGAGAGGTCGGGGGAACAAAAGTAGTCTGATTTCTGAACGTGCCGATTTCTTTTTTGAAACAAAGTGTAAATTGTTCAAATTGCCCTAACAGACTGTTAGAATGTTTGTCTTTTTTGTTTGACTTCGGTATATTAGTAGTGATCTTTTAGTTTGAAAATGTTGAGGTCATGTTCAACCAAACATAAACCATGCCCCATTTTCTTTCGATTTAACTTACCTGTCTTTAAAATTTGAGCGTACAAAAATTATCCATGCATAACTATGTGTTTTACGGTCGAGAGTTTGAAATAAATTTGTATACAATTGAATTATTTGAGATGTCTAAAGACTTTTGTAAAAGTACTTTTTGTTATTTACGAATTCCAGATTGACTTCGGTAACTATGAAAATTGACTGTGAAGATCTATAATTTCAGCAGCGGATTGAATTGCTAACTCTCATCTCATAATGTATATCAATGAACGCTACTCAGAGCTACAGATGTGCATAATCTCTTTATAAATTAAAATATGCTCAAAATAAACACCAAAAATGGATTTAAATTTAAAAAAAATTAACATGGGCCTTATGGGTTGCCATGCTGGTGACGAAATAACAACGCAATATAAACAGAAAATCAAAACAAATGGAAGAAATTCCAATCACATGTCTTATTTACAGCGTAGTGTGAAAATAGAGAAGTCTGTACATAACATATTTTTTGTCTAGTTTTAGACCACGGGATGACCTCTAGTATAAATTAATAGAAAAACATGTTTCTTGAAAACTTTTATTCTCAGCTCCTGTGCATCGCAGAGAAAATCTACGCACACTGTTAGAAATATATTTTCCTGTAGATGTGCAGAATCCCTTTATAAATTAAAATATTCTAAAAATAATCAAAATAAACTAATTTAAAGTATAAACAAAATTATCATGGGCCATATGGGTTGCCATGCTAGGGACGAAATAACAATGAAATATAAACAGAAAACCAAAACAAATTGAAGAAATTCCAATCAGATGCTTTATGGGATGACAATAGAGAAGTCTGTACATAACATATTTTTGGTCGAGTTTTCGACCACTGGACGACCCCTAGTATATATTAATTATGCAAATATAATGAAACTATGAACCATATACCATAATCATTACACCATTAAAATAAATGTATGGCTCACCAATCAATAGTTGATGACTGTCTATAAAACTTCTCTATTATAGAGATGGCCTTTTTACTGGGGTCAGCCTCCCCCAGACAAATCCGCCTACGACCGCTTATGCTTAAGACAACATCTGTTGTAACATAATGTACCAAACTATATATTTAATCGTTTTGTTGTTGTTGTTGTTTTTTTATTTAAGTAATACTAGTGGCATGTAGGGACATAAGTACCTTAAAAGCTCAAAAGTTACAACAGTTTAATTTAAATTACTCATTGCATATTTCAAACAGTCGAAAAGATGGTCAATACAAGCCCAAATCTCTTGACCTGCTAAAGTCACACAAACCCGCATTTAGGCGAGTCTCTAAACCACAACGTTATGTTTGTTGAGATATCAGACCGCAATTATAAGATATCATGATTTGTTTCAGTTTATTTTTAGTTTAAACCAGTTCATTATTTTACTTGTAAAATTATTCGTATTTTCAAAGGAAACAATTACAATAAAAAAGACAGTGTAAAGGAGTTGCCATATAGTTTAGTTCATTTTTAATGTGGAAATAATATTGTATTGATATTCAAATAGTAATGGTTTGGTGACCATTTTCTGTTAAATTTTTTATTCTATGCGCATACCTCGTTCCAGGGCACAGTTAAAATTACAACAATTTTATAGAACAACTAGCTGACCCGGCGAACTTCGTATCGCCTAAGTTATAGGTTTCCCCTAAGACAGACCGATGGAAAGAAAGTACCGTTACGTTTAATTTTCAAGATGATCTCGTTCGCATCGCTCAATCACGTCCTGGTTGAAGTTCGTTCGCTACGCTCACTCACCTTTGGGTTGGAGCTCGTTCGCTACGCTCACTCACCTTTAGGTTGGAGCTCGTTCGCTGCGCTCACTTGCCTTCAGGTTAGCTCGTTCGCTACGCTCACTCGCCTCCAGGTTGAAGTTCGTTCGCTACGCTCACTCACCTTTTGGTTGCAAATTAGCTGTTGTCATAAATGTAAAAGAAATAATAGTGCTGCACCCTGTTGGTAATCCTTGTAACTTTAATGCTATTGAACATCATAGAACAGAACCAACTTGTTTAATTGAAACAGCTGTTAAGATTCATTAATTCCATTTCTCATAAGGTTAACATGGGAAACTCCAGAGCCACTGGGGCGGAGCCCTTTTAAGAATTTCGAAACGGGAAATAGTTTACGTCCGATTCGCATACCTACAGAATTTACACACCAAATTTCATAACGATCGGTGAAGTCGTTCCGGAGGAGTTTGCAGACTAACACTGTGACACGAGAATTTTATATATTAGATTTTAGAATATCACCGCCGCAGCAAACCTACCGACTAGGCGAATTTCCATTTGTCATAATTGATTTTCAATCGCTAACTTTTTTATTAGTGGGGCTGTATGCTCCGACCTTTTTTAGCGAATTTAACTATAGGGAAGTAGCTATTACCATAGGTCTCGTGGTAAGACCTAAGCCCGGGACCGATTTACTTTTTCATTTTGATGTTCCCAGAGGCCAAAAACACCATTCGTTCAAAATTTTATATATATATATGTGTGTGTGTGTGTGTGTGTCCATCCGCACGATAACTTGAGTAATTTATGTCCGATTTTGATAAAATTTGGTTTGAAGGTGTAAGGCGGGATAAACTTGAATGAGTTCGCGAACCAGCATGATCGGACTATGGGAACGGGGGTTTATGGGGGGTTTTATGGGGTAAAAATAGGTTTTTCCCATTTTTGACCCTAAAAACACAAAATTTCACAATTTATTTTTAAACCAGTTTGTGGAGATTAAAAAAACAAATAATTTAGTATATTGAAGCGTTACTATGCGCCTAATTGATACGGAGAAAATTCAAAAAAATTGTAATTTTAAACATTCCCATGTTATTCTTATGGAGAATAAGTCAACTGTTGTAGTTTGCTTGTTTATGAACATGTTTTGATCGATTTTGGAAAATACTTTTATTTCTTACTAAACTAATATCATTTTTTTAAAAAAATCTTTTTTACCCTCCCTGTTGCAGCAAACCTAAGTACTTGTTAAACTAATTCTATTTAAATAGGAAATAAATGTGCTATTTTTATGGAGGCATTTTAGTGTAAATCCAATCAGGTTGATGGAAATTCGCTTAGTCTGCAGGTATTCATGGTTAGAGTACGTATGAACAACTTCTGTAATAATATAATTGATTTTATTGTAGTTTTATTGTACCTATCCAAATGGCCAGGCCATACTCAAGTTTTGAACTGATTAAAGCAAAGTACACAGATTTTAATAACTTAATGCCACAAACAGTCCTTAGCAGGTAAAAAATCTTTACATATTTGATCAATTTCCTCTTTAAATTATCTATATTATTCTTCCAAACGATGTGGATTTTTTTAATACTACATATTATTCGTCTGTTTTAATTGTAAAATTAATATAAAGGAAACTCAAGTTTTATTTACAACTAATAGTGGAATTTCGATTTTTATTAAGATGGAAATTTTATCCGGACAATCCACAACACATTAATTTATTTTACAGCCCATGGTAAAAATCATCGTTTATAATTGTCTATATTTGCATAATTATTGGTTTAACAGTTAAATTAAAATAGCTGATCGAAAGTTTTTGTTTAAATTCTAATTTACATAAAATAATGAATAATAAAATAATAATAACAATAATAATAATAAATAAAAAATTATATTATTAAATATTTATTTTTACTACTAAACCATAGTTTAATTGACACAGTACTTCCAAGTTTTGGTAGAAGAGAGTCAAGTAAAAAAATCAGTATTTTATCAGAACTATTTTCTCTTGTATAGTAATCTTTAGAGTAATCTTCGATCAATAGTAACAAATGATGTTTCCCCCTTTGTACTGTATATTTTAATGTTCTAGTATACTGTGGATTGCTTGTTATAAACACATGTTACAAGACCTTTGTTTACTTTTTCCTTATATTTTGTTCAACCAATATAATTATTTGGCAACCCTTAAGGCCAATGTTATATTTTTAATTTTTCAAATGAGTTGTGTAGCAAAATAATAATTTCCCTGACGCTGTCATAAATCACGTGTTTAGGCAAGAAATAAATTATTTACAACTTTCGGAGGAAATCGTCGAAGCCTTTTCCAGTTCTTTGTGCAAGTAAGCATACATACAAGCAAACATCGCTCATATTTAAGACTTTGGGATAGAATTGGTTGGTTAAAAATATTGAACACCCAATGAAAGGATAAATTAAACAGTGACAGAATTAAATACTTGGAAATATTTTACAAAGTTAAGAAATTATGAGACATTATGGAGTAAGTGCAAATAAAAAGCAGGATAAAAACTCTGAATAAGAAATAATACTGTAATAACAATAAAACGAATACTGTACCACTGTAGGTAAGTACTGTATGCTACGTGCTTTTTAAATTAAACAATAAAACTCAACGGCAAACGAAAAACAATTGAAAGACCTATTTACCTTACTCAAATAAATACCAGCAAACCAAACCAAATAAAAAAATAGATACTGCATAGTTCCTTTATCAATGAATTTGATAAGTTACATTGTTTACTTATTAAAGAAATTAAGAAAAGGTTTAAATAAAATTAAATATGACCCCTCTATTACATCAAAATGTTTTAAATATAATAATTTAAAATATTAAATAATACTAAAAATAACAATAGGTACCAAAAATTAAATAAAATTAAAAATTATAAAAATAATTAAGTGAGTCAACAAAAAAAATGTTTTTAAATAATAATAAAAAAATTATTTTTAAATAAAAAAAAATATTTTTTTATTTTAAAAGAAAAATTAACTGACCTAATAACGCAGCCAGGTATTGTCTGAATATGGCCTTGGAAGACATTTCAAGAGGGTGCTCTGAAGTCGTCTGCACTACTGGACAGTTTACAGAACGCGGAATACAGGCGCATAGCCGCCGACAGCTGTTAACTGGCGGGAGTCTGGCGCGGTTCTGGCGGGCCCAGCGCCTAACCGCAGGGCTGCCAACTATGTAGTGCGAAATTTCCCCTATAAACAGACCGAGAGCAACTCCGCGGTATGTACGGTAGGTCAAGTTTATAAAATCCAATGTCATGCTCTACGGCCAGGCAACGGATCACGATGTATACAGTTTTAAAATGTATGTTTATGTTTAAATATGTTTTGTGTAGTACACTGTTAAATTATCGAAGTAATAGATTGTGCATGCTGTATTCTGTTAGAGAAATGGGTGATAAATAATATTCATAAGTCATGACCCTTGGTGACACTTGATGGTCTGGCATATACAATATAACAATATGGAATTATATTTCATTTCGAAAGTTATTATACTCAAGTAACGTTCAGATGGCACTGCATCTGGCCTGGCAGGACAGATCTGCACGGTCGTGCATTAATTGCTCCAAACAGTTCCTTAATTGTGCCAAGCCCTCAAAGGGTCCCAAAAAATGTGTCTTAGTTGCACCAGGCCCAAGCCAGGTAGGGGTGAGTCATTCTAAACTATCCTAACCTAAACCTTCCTAACCTAACCTACTCAATTATAGAGTAAAAGAGGGCTGCCACTTGCGGCTCAGTTAATCAACTCATAGGGTGGCTCCCTGGAGTAGTTGGCGCAATTCAGGAATACTCATCTACCTGACTCAGATCAGTTAGCGCAATTGCCCACCCATCTGCACACCATATAGCTAAAATCTTTTTGTTTGCAGTGTTCTATTTGATAAAACGAGAAAAGCTGCACAAAGTTAGCCTGAAATTGCAGCTTAATAAGGTCACAAACATAAACTAGGACCAAATTTCACCGTTATAATGAAACTATTTAACTGTTGATTAGAGTGTAAACATGTCAATGCACCGATGTACGCTCGCGCACTCACACACACCTTGCGTTTTGCATTTGCGCGGGCCCAGCTATATAGCTCATAAAACACTGAAACACTCATTATGGATAGTACAAAATAATTTTCGAGTCCCCCTAAAACTATTTTGGGGCACAAACCTCCTTCTCCGATATTCTCAAGTCTGAGTTCCCTTCAGGTAATCAAATCTGGTTCGCAAACTCAAATTTATGACACTTTGAACTTTTAATTGAAATTCCTTTCTTTGGCCACAGGCTTGGTTTTACAATAAACACTGGTATTTTATATTTAGATATTTCCTTGTACAGCGTACATAACTATTTTTGGTGTTATGAATACTCAACGGAAAGTGATCCTGGCTGTCATATGATAAATAGTTACATGTGTTTTAAGCCGTTCTGTTTTGTTTGGCAACAACAAATCAAAATTTAAACTTCAAAATTTACAGTGTAATATTAACAATTATCGCAAACTCCATTATTTGTGAATGACACTGTATTTAGGAGAAGGAAGAACACTATAACGTTTATTCGTAAGTTGTTGCATTGTGTAGTCTTGCACGATATAGACGATATTCAGTAAGCCAAACGGATTTGTATCTAGGTTATAAGTAAAGAATAGTTATTGTAATCAGTTATCACGTATCATGGAGTGCTATCCACGCAAACTTAATGGTGATCTTTGACTATGGACCCACTTTCTGATATACTATAATTGTATTCCATTATTATTGTTACAATTCATAAACACATTCTGCAATTAACTCTACCGCGTGGTCTCTAACGACTTTCCAGGGAGTCAATCTCCTTCATATTATCATTGTCTTATTTTGTTTTAGGAATACCGCACCTTTGCTACACAAGAAGATGAAAAGAAACCCGAATCAGATCAATCCCAGACACATTGGAGGAGGAGACGTTTGGCAATCTTTGAGGAGGGCGACTTCTAAGATATCCATCCTAAGAAGTGCAAACACAATTTTTACTTCATCAAACTTCGGAGGACAAATCACCTCGATCTCCACATTCTGTGGCGAAAACATTTGCCCTTCAGATGGAATAAAGACTATGGACTATTCGAAGAAAAAAAATCGCAACACAAATGTCTTTCCTCCAACAAATATGGATTCCTTTGTGAAAATACCACGTAGCTCTTCAACTTCAGACGTTGAAGAAGATGTGGTGGAGGATGAAGAAGATGCGATAGAAGGAACAGATGAAGAGGAAGAAGAACCTGTAAATTGTGAAGAAGAAACAAAATGTGTAGCAACAAAACCTCAGATTGTCAAATTGCAAATTGAGAATCCTAAAGAAAATGCTGACAAAAATGATCCTATTCCAAAAAAGGGCATAGCTACTCAAAATCTGGAAACATGTCCTTGGATGAAGGCATCGATAGTTCTTGTGGTTCTCTCACTTATACTTTTAGTCACCCTCATGATCAATGCATATTCTATAACGAATACAACATCGTTCCCAAACCTCTGGAGAAAACAAGTGAAAGAAAGTCCTTCTTTTCTGGAAAGGTGCAGACGAGTTTTATCTGAGGAGACTGTTTTATCAAACTTTCTGACTAAGGTGAATATGGTGAATTTAATAGGAGTCTTAGCGGTCGCATCTGTCTTTCTTATGATTCCCTAAATACACTTGGTATAAAGAATAAATACTAATGTTCGTGATTTATTTTTCCCTCCAAAAACTGTTTAAAAGTTACAAAGATAAAAACCCAAAACTTGTCTGGGATGGAGAAAAACTCGTCATTAGATCGAAGAAAATTCCATGCAACTACATACAGTAAATTTATGTAAGCCTATTCCTTCGAAACACCATCGTGTTAAACTGTCAAAATATTATTTCCCTTAGTTTACGAAACATATTTTACACAAAAATTGTTTCCCGAATAAATCTGGAATCCTAAAATTGTTAATACAGTAACTTCATGCAGTGAGTCTCTTATAGCTATTTACCTTACAAGTGTAGTAAGGGCGTTTTTTAAATCACGCAGGTGAATGTTGTGCAAGGAGCGGAAGCGAGGGGGTTACGTACAATATTTTTCATTATCCATTTCACTCATCTTCTATATAACAGTAACTTGCTGTTACATACAAAAGCTAGGTTAGGGAAATCTTTAAAGCATAACAATAATATCCAAGCGCACAGCTGATTTCTAGCGTTGAACGTCGTTGGCTCCATAGAGGTATATTTTTTTAAGTTGAGCACTCAATGTTATTTAAATGGGTTTCATTACTTCACCTAGTGAGTTTTTGAAACTTTACTTCACTCGTGAAGTTAAGAAGATGTATACATCACGCTTGGGATAGGGCAGTTTAACATGGCGGGTAAGGTAGAGTTTTAAATCACACTTTATTCCGTGTAGGGTAAATTTACGTGTTGTCAAAGAGCATCCGACAATTATTGCTACTCTAAATTTACCCTTATTTAATTCCCTATTTGAATCACAAACACCCGTTGACAGCAAACCTACGTCATCACAGCATGCGGTTATTTCCAGATGAAAAATAGACCCTTGAATAATTGTCGACTCAAATTAACGTAAATGTGGCCAAAACTATTTTAAATACTCGTTCCTGGCTAAGATCCAACGGTTACTTCCACGTCCAGAAGACGGAATGTCCAAACACAGTTTCATCTCTTCTCATAACAGTTTGGTACTGAGCTTGCCCAACTGTCCCTTCGTTAAAACTTGTTTGTATAGATAATTATATAATCGTTTTGTATAGCGTATAGCTTAACTTTCTTAAGTGCAGTACGAGTACAGAATAAGAACATTTAGTCTTTTACCTAACCCGCCATGTTAAACTTCCCTATCCCAAGCGTGATGTAGTATATAACTTCGTTACTTCTCGAGTGATGTAAAGTTGAAAAAAACTCACTCGATGATGTAATGAAACCCATTTAAATAAAACAATGAAACCCATAGCATTGAGTGCTTAACTTAAAAAAAATATACCTCTATGGAGCCAACGACGTTCAACGCTAGAAATCAGCTGTGCGCTTGAATTTTATTGTTATGTTTTGAAGAATTTTCCTAATCTAGCTTTTGTTTGTAAATTAACGTTACTGTTAGAAGATGAGTGAAATGGATAATGAAAAATATTGTTCGTAACCTCCTGTATATTGTCGGGTCAGGTAAAATCTTGTACCGTACGTTACACGTTACGCAAGAGCGTGTTTACATCACTTCGGTATATTATGCAACTCGCTTCCGCTCGTTGCACAACATTCACCTGCGTGATGTAAAAACGCTCTTACTACACTTGTAAGGTAAATAGCTATTACAGCTGAAACGACTTTAATTAATAATCGTATAGTCACGCCATTGATTGTTTATGAATATTATCAGCGTTTATTTGCAGAGGGGTTAGTTTGATCAAATGTTTGCCGGTTTGGATCAGCTTTATGGAAGTGTCAAACTACAAAAGTAAACTCATAAAGATTCAGTAAACGTTCTAGTTGTCTTACTGTTCCCAAAAAACATATAAATAAAATGTTTCCACAATGCATAACATGGCAATTTTGAGAAGGTCTTTAAACAGAACAGAAATTTTAAAATATATACTTAAACGAAATGTATTAATTATCAACTTATTGAGATGAGGACGCCACTTAGGTGCGTATTTTAACCCAAATATGAGAGAAGGGTGAGTGTAGAATTGTCGGTGATGATCATCACTAAGATAAGATATGCCATAAGCCAGAATCATCTATATGAGCTAATAAGGATCACGAACTTTTGAGAAAACCGTGCACCGCACACCAATCTACCATATATAATTGGAGAAACTAAAAGTATATATGATTTCATTCATTATTGTTTAAATACGCAAAAAGTGCAAAACATCGATTAAAAATGCGTGTGAACGTAGGAAAAGTTAACTAGCAGTTTGTAAGTATATAACTAATAGTACGGTAGTCGTACAGATCAACATTGTACTTGGCCAAATGTTAGACTACCCCAACAGCACACTGAACCTCAGTATTGTATTTACGTAGTACAACTTCCAGAATGCCAGGTAAACATCCGGTTAACAATTTGGCACGGTCGGCTACTTATATTTATATTTAACTTGATAAATAACC